TTTGCACTTATCTGCATGTGTAATTAGGCCAATTTGCATATGTAGCACATGAGGCACAAACACAAGCATTTTTGCTTTAGTGATAAATATTGACTTAAGGGGAAAATCTTCGAAAGAAGCGATTATCAGACGTTGCACACTCGGACCTCCGCTGCAGAGTTGTTCACATACTTCTATCTCCAGATGTTTACTGAAGTCGTGTCATGAAGCTCACTCACTGTAGTTTGCGCATTAACCTAAATTTACTCCTGCTAACCCTGGCAGACGTTCAGGGGCAATTCTGACGTTAAATGTTTCTCTCAAACGCCTTAAAACCATTAGGAATAAAATGAGCTGTGTCTCAGTCAGGCTTTTCCACGTATGGATCTGTGGCGAACGCTCATTATTATCAGAACATATGACGGTGCCGGCGCTCCATTAGCCAGGTGGCATTCATTAGGTTAATTGCTGCCATTTCTTCTTATTAATAGTTTGTGAAAGCAACACGCTTGGAAATGGTTCAGTCTTTGATTAAAGACTTTATCCAATGCTTTCATTTTCTTATTTTGTGGTGTGTTTGGACAGAAGTGGAGATTTGCTCCTGATAAAGCCGTGTTTGAATGTTTGACAAATGAATGTTGCACAGGTGAACTCCTGCTCATTCTGAATGGCCGGTGAGTTGTGAATCCAGACGAAGGTGCGCTCGTATTAATGCATCATGCGCGGCTGTCAGGAGGGTAATTATGGCCAGAGCGGCTGATTCCCAAAGCGCTCTTGTGTTTCCAGACCTTCTGTTTCATCGTGTTGGGAATGACGCGCTGGAGGCCATCAGCAGTACGCTCTTTATGACCTTCTAATGATGCTCTTTATTTGAACCTAGGGCTCCGTAAGGTAGCTATCTCTAGGAGAGTGATAAACGCTGAAACAATACTCGGCAGCGGGAAGGGATCAGAGTGAGTGTTAAATAGTGAGGGAGTGATATGAAACAGCTGGGTGCAATCAGTGTAAACAGGTGTGTGCAATTCGTGCTGAGTGCAATCAGTGCAATGCATGATGGGAAATGTAGTCCGGGGTGATGTGCAACAGTGTGTAGTGCGAGAGTCAATGAATTGGAAAGTTCATGGACCGGATTCGTGACATATATAACAAATACATGCATACACAGTATTAATGCAGCTTTAATCGCCTTTTTGGTGACTTCATGACTTAACTGATGACTGTGGCATTGCATGCTCGTAGTTTCTTTTGCGCTTTAATATGAAATGATACAGGGTACAGTCCTGCGTTAATTGCGTTAAATATTTTAAACTGAAAAAATGAATCGCCTGCGTTAACGCTCTTTTTGACAGCAGTAGTATTTAACGTTGATTGAGGACAGAAGAATTGAGGTGCTTCTTGTTTGTATTTGGTGCCGTTAATATTTGAAAAACTAGCGGCCAAATCAGAGCCATGTGGCGAAACCAACATGCGGAAGACAAATAACACGAATCAGGAAATAATATCATATAAAACAGGAATTGATAATGATGGTGAATCAGATGTCTGTATATTAGTGACATTTGAGCAGATTAGTTTCAGTCATCAGGGATATTTCATAGTTTGATCTGGATTTGATCTCCTCCAGGACTCAAGAGCTGAGCTGATGCCCTTCTGACAGTTCTGATCGGCATTAAACGATTATATCAGTCTCAAATCTATTTCATTAAACTCATGTTTTAAGAGAGAGAGGCGAGGAATATGGCTGGCTGCAGCTTTGATTTGAACCTGGACCTAAAATATCAGGCTAAAGTATGATTTTCAGGCCTGGACAGTCACCAAAATGAAGGAAAATAGACTTCATCTTAAACTATTTCACACAGCATTTGTGGAATTGTTTTATTTTCATTTTCTTTAAAATATTTTAATTTTATTATATATGTATAATATTTTTTACTCTTATATATATATTTTTTTATTATGAGCTCATGTTAAAAGTGTACTCAGATATAGCACAAATATACTACAAATCAAATATAGTGTGTGTATATATACAGTATATATAATTTTTTGTAAGTCTGCGCTTCACACGGATCATCTGTCCGGGGCGTTCATCTGGAACAGCTTTGCCGCACTAGTTTCCGTGTTCCTGGAGATTACAGGCTTTGAAGCAGTCCTCTCTCTTTGTCTGCATGCAATGCACTCTGGTAATTAACTTTGTCCTTCTTTTATTTGTTCCAGTCTTCCTCCGTCCACTCTTCTGAGCATCTTCTCCCAGGAGTACCAGGTTAGAAGTTTTCTTCCTTTGTGCGGCCTGACAGCTGCCTAATTGAATGATGAATGTCCCCTTATTTCTGTGTAATTGAACTGCCAACTCTCTGATTGGTTTGGAGGATTTCCCTCGCCTCACACACACACACACACACACACACACACTCACACACACTCACTCGTCTGCGTCTCGGTGGACCTCTGCCAACCCGGCCTCTCCATCTGTCTAATAACATCGAGCCGCTGCTTGTTTGCCGGACCTGTAATAAATTATGCTAAACCATTATTATTCTGACAATAATAATTTCCCAGTGCAGCGCGGCTCGGTGTGCTAAATGTTTGCTGACTCGCGCTGCCGCGGCTGCTTTGGGCGTCTGACAGCCGATGAAGATCGATGGCCGCTGCTGCGGTGGCAGACGACTGCAGGGGCACAAAATAGAGCCATTCATCATCCGGCCGACAGCCGTCACTCACTCGCTGTGTCTCGCAGAATTACTTTTGTAGTTTTTAAATAAGTTGTTTTTAAGCGCCGCTCTCGCTGTCCTCAGGTTAAGAAGCAGCTGAATTGCATTAGAAATGAAAGCCAGAGTGGTTGTAGTTTAGTAGAAGAGGAAATGAAAGCGCAGGGCCACCTGACCCCTCAGAGCCAGAGCGAACACTTCGACACAGCAATCTACATCTAATGCAGCGCACGAGAGTCATTTCAGATCACGCCAGCGGCTTACAGCACAACATAGGCATTATACTGGAAAATAACCTCACGACCGTTCAGAAGTCTGTTTTTCATGTTTCTGAAAGAGTCTCTTCTGCTCACCAGGGCTGCTTCATTTGATCAAAAATACAGTACAAATTGTGAAATATTATTACAGTTTAAAACAGCTGTTTTCTATGTGAATCTCTGTTAAACTGTAATGTATTTCTGTGATGCGCAGCTGTATTTTCAGCATCATTCCTCCAGTCTTCAGTGTCACATGATCTTCAGAAATCAGTATAATATGCTGATCTGCTGCTCGAGAAACATTTCTGATTATTATCAATGTTGAACACAGTTGTGCTGCACGATAGTTTTGTGGAAACGTGACACATTTTATTTTTCAGGATTCACAGATGAACAGAAAGTTCAGAAGAACAGCATTTATTTGAAATAGAAATTTAATGTAACATTATAAATGTCTTTACTGTCACTTTTGATCAATTTAATGCATCCTTGATGAATAAAAGTATTAACTTTTTGAGAAAAAAATGCAAACTTTTCAGTAGTAGTGTAAATAAAATTGCTTATTTTTTATTTTTGTGACTTGATGGACTCAAATCAAAATACCAGTTGTTTCATATCGAATGAATGAATCAGTCTGAATCAGTGTAAAAACAGATTCACATTATGAAACACTGAGTTCAAAACTAAAGACTCAAATCAGTCACATTAATATGATAAAACAGCTAGTTCTGATGTTCAGACGCATATCAGTTTGATCCCAGATCAGCGTCTCAAGTTATGAAACATATAAACTCTACTTTGTGCTTTGTCAAACAAACCCTCTGTAGTATAAAGTGCATCCTCATCTAGTTTAGTTCAGGTCCTGTTCTGTATTTTTGCATCACTCCATGTTTTTCTTTGCTCTCGCATGTAAATAACATCAAGTATTCCTGATATTTAGTAGTTGAAGCAAAGTCACACACACTATTTGTGTCCCTGCAGCACAAAAGCAGTGTTGAGTCGCTGGGGGATATTTGTAGCAATAGCCAACAATACATTGTATGGGTCACAATTATACATTTCTCTTTTATGCCAAAAATCATTAGGATATTAAGTAAAGATCATGTTCCATGAAGATATTTAGTAAATCTCCTACCATAAATATATCAAAACTTAATGTTTGATTAGTAATATGCGTTGCTAAGAACTTCATTTGGACAACTTTAAAGATGATTTTCTCAATATTTAGATTTTTTTGCACCCTCAGATTCCAGATTTTCAAATAGGTGTATTTCAGCCAAATATTGTCCTATCATAACAAATCTTTCAGATGATGTATAAATCTCAATTGTGAAAAATTTACCTTTGTGACTGGTTTTTGTGCTCCAGGGTCACATATACAGTCCAACACAATGACTGATTCATAAACGCTGTGATATGTTTCATAAGCCAGATATAAAGGTTTCATTGGTTTAAGGTCCTGCTCCGATGTGCTGTTTGTTTCAGAAGAGGATGAAGCGCAGCATGGTGAGACATCACGCTCCTGATGTGGTCAAGGCATATTATCAGAGGTAAGAAACGCCTCACGCGTCAGCTCCAGCCCTCCACACATCACACGCTTCACCTTGACATGTCATCTTAAAAACGAGAACATCAGACAGCAGAATGCAGTGCGTAATGACCTCAGCTGATCCAGACATCTACTCTTAAATATTCATGAAAATGTGTCTTCAGCTCATTCACAATACTTCAAAACCCATAAAAATCACTAATGCCAACAATTACTCATTAAACCAGTTGACAGTGAAACAAAGCATCTCCTGTCGCTCTGTGTGCGCCTTCTGTGTTTGTCAAATACATCAGTAAGTCTTTCACTGTCCTTGCTTATTATGACTATTTTTCACATGTTGAAATAATAGTGCAGTGATAAAAAAATGTAATGATCAAACCGCATTTGAGCTGCATTTTTGTCTAGATCAGAGATGCTCAAACCAGGGCTCGCGGGCCAAACCTGTCCCGTAATAAACTTTGATTTAACCCGCCATGCCAAAACACAAAAAAATTAAAATAAATTTAAAATAAAAGAGAGAGAGGAGAAAAAAAAGAAAAAGAAAACATGCCATTGAAGCATATCTTCAATTATTATTTATATTTTTGTTTTGATATTTTTATTTTATTTTTGCATTGAAATAAACAATATTATTTAATTTTAATTAAAAATTATATTTAAAGAAATATAAAAAAATATGTGTTTAATTTTTGTTTAATTATTTAATTTTAATATATATATATATATATATATATATATATATATATATATATTATATTATATAATTGGATATAATGCCAAAGTAAATTTTGACACACAACCCTCAATCAGGTTTGATTTTTGGCCCTTCGTATTAAACATTGCAGCTCTGCTCATTCTGAACATTGACCAGGTGCATCCTTGGATGCTTTAAACACTGATGATGCTTCCCCTTCACTATCTGCTACAACTCCCTCATTTAGATGGAGATATATATATATATATATATATATATATAAATCAATAATCTAAATAACGGTTTATAACTGTTGATTTTAGTAATTAAAGACACAATATGTAATTTTTGCCACTAGAGGGCGCATTTTCAAAACAAACAAAGAGACAAAGGCGTAGTTTGATGACGAGTGACTGAGAGTGGAATCATGGGAGTTGTGGTCTTCATCCGCACAGCCGATGCAATCCGACGGGACTCCGGTCGTGCGTATGTGGGGTAAAGCAGCGGAGCTTTTATTATGCCACAGTAGAGCGCTTCCGCTGCTTCCGGTCCTGCGTATGTGGGGTAAAGCAGCGGGGCTTTTATTATGCCACAGTCGAGCGCTTCCGCTGCTTCCGGTCCTGCGTGTGTGGGGTAAAGCAGCGGGGCTTTTATTATGTCACAGTCGACCGCTTCCGCTGCTTCTGGTCGTGCGTATGTGGGGTAAAGCAGCGGGGCTTTTATTATGCCACAGTCGAGCGCTTCCGCTGCTTCCGGTCCTGCGTGTGTGGGGTAAAGCAGCGGGGCTTTTATTATGTCACAGTCGACCGCTTCCGCTGCTTCTGGTCGTGCGTATGTGGGGTAAAGCAGCGGGGCTTTTATTATGCCACAGTCGAGCGCTTCCGCTGCTTCCGGTCGTG